TGATGATGTCGATGAGTATGGGGGGGGGGGGAAAGAATCGAATTCGTTTCGATTTCGATTCCAAAATCGAAACGATTTCAAATTCGATTTCGATTATGAAATCGAAATGAAATCGAAGGTGATTTCGAAGTCGCAGTAGCAGGAGGACAAGATATGGAGAAAAAAAAGAAGGAGAAAAAAAAGTGTTGCTTACCTGGCGCGCGGCAGCAAGGATCAAGGCGGCAAGGGTGACGGAGTGTTGACGTGGCACGACATCGATGAAGATCTCGGCGAGAAACGCCGGGGGGAGATCACGGCGGCGACGATGGTCCAGGTGGCGATGATCACGGCGGCGATGAAGATCACAGCGGCGTCGAAGGTCTTCAGCGGCGATGGAGGGAGCAACCAGCTCCGATACCAGTGTAACAAGCGTGAGGCTGAGGGAGACAAGGAGAGCCGAGGGAGATGAGAGGGAGAGGGAGAGAGGGAGAGCACACACACACACTCACTTACTCGACACGACTGAGGGTCGGACGCAGACACAGTGGCAAGGACACAAAGTCGAAGTCTTGGATTCCGAATGTCGAAACAGGAGCAAGTCACACTGAGTACTGGTACAGCAGCTGAAAACTGGTACGAGACTGGGTCCCCGTACTGTACGGAGCACCGGTATAAGTACCGGGTGTCCGGTAAAGTACCGGGGGCAGATCTGCAAAAGCCCCGAGGGCAAAACTGAAAAGTGCGGTATTTGAAAGTGGCGCCCAAATTGCAGCATGGCGCCAATTGTCCAAAATTTGATGGTACCAAAGGAGGGGTTTGGAAAAACAGTGCCAGGCCGAAAACGGGAAGCAGCAGAAACAGCAAAAAGATGGCCCTGGCGGAGTCCGTAACAGATATGGCCCTAAGGATGGTGACAACTCCTTAGGAAAGCAAGTTGTACCCCGCGAAAACCTATCTTGTCGTAGGGAACTGTGGGATGTACAGTTGGCGCACCCAGGTAGAGCGGCGAATGGACGACGAGACCACGTCCGCCTTGGCGGTTCGCGGGGTTATTTATGCGTCGTTCTCAAGTTGTCTCTTGTATTGTTTTGTTTTACTCCTGCGTGACATGGCCGGGAGGGCTTCCGTGTTTTGCAAAAAGGCAGGAGTCAATGCGCTCGACAGAGAGGAGCGAGCAGTGGGGTTGGAGATTTATCGGGTAACCGGTGCGTTGCTCATCCTATCGATAGAGTACTCTCTCTCTCTCTCTCTCCCACTCACACACTCACGTATAGTAGGTGTATATTTTGGTGTTCGAAGCCGTAGATACATCCGATCTTCGCCCGATCTGTTAGTGGGAGAAAGCCAGGTGCACCTGCTGCCCACCGCTATCGCCTGCGAAGAATTGAAGTGCCAATGCGCCTTTGGACGGGCTCGAAGTCGTGATTACCGAGGAGCTCGTCATGATTGAATTCGCCCAGGCTACCGCTACTTCCCACACGGTCATGAGGGTCTTCTGACTGAGGATAGGAGTGCGTGCAAGCTAGAAGTCGAGAGAGATCGAGAGGGAGGGGAGTAACGTACCTGATCTTCTCGGTGGTCGCCACCGCCGTTGGAGCAAGGTCCTACACTGAACAGAAGGAGTTGTCTCCCATCTCTGGTTTCCAAGTCGACGGATTGGCTTTCCTTTCCTGTCTCTAATTGAAACCAGCCGTATTTGCCGCCAGATATATATATAGGATCGTAGGGTCTGCACACCTACTAAGGTATAGGTAGAGATAGAGAGGTATCTATGAGAATCAGTGGTGGGGATCAATTGATAGGCGGGTTGTTGTATTGGACTGCGCACGGACTCGATATGGACAGCAATGTATGTCCAATTATTCTATCGGAGTAAGTAGCGTGAAGCCAGTCGTGAGGAGGGTTTGCATACTAGGTAAGACCTTGCTCATCCGATCGTCGGACTGAAGCGGCAAGGAGGTCAGGCTCGAATTGGAAGTCTGCCTGCTGACCGGAGTGTCGCCTCTCTCGTTGGTTAAAATAGAGAGGGGGTCGTGTCCACTACAGTTGTTGGTTGTTGCGGCGTTCATTCAAGTTGGGGGCGCCATTGCTAAGCTTGTAGAGTTCGTCAGGCCACTGCTGTTCATCGAGCCTCTACTCATTGAGTCGTTGCTAGTATGGACGTGCGAACAGTTATCCGCTGCATACTGATGTATTTCTCTGTACATATTATGCCTTCGCTACATGTGGTGACTTCATGGATACGTGCTCTGGTTGAACACAGTTTAACACACCCTTCTTGTGTTGCGTAGCTACAATTAGTTAGAGGGTGTGCTTTGCAAACTGAGGGAATGGTCGAGCTGTAAAAAAGGAGGTCATTACTGCGATTTTGGGAGGTCGTTTGGGAGTCAGTAATTGGCAGTTGACTTCAGTTTGACCTAGTTGCAACTGCGTTTTGGCCATCATTGCGGGGCCCTCAGGTGATTAAAGATTGCAAGGCCATTTCCTGGGAGTTGAGTTTGTCCCCTTCTTGTATCACGAGAGTATGAAACCCCTCCTTCTATCCTTCTTACTCTAAGTCTAATCCTAGTTACGAGAGGAAGTCGGCAGGTGGAATTTCAACCCGTAGAACCTCAGCAAGACTTTGTGGGGAGTCGGCCCACCGATTGCGGGAGATCTGCCGGAACTCGGGAGGAGTTCTGAAGGCAGGGAACTGAGAGCTAATCATTGTTTCCCCTCTAGTTACAACCCCTATCTGTACATTCTTCTACAGTTTGACTGAGTATACAAACCTTGTATCCCTACTTTGACTTTATGTTGACTTTAAAAACGAACAAGACTTAAGTAAAGGAATGATTGTGCAAGTTGCAGTTTCAGTTTTGTTGTCTGACTGATAGCAGATTGTGGAAAGGGGTTGCATCTGGGGGAAAGGTGGGAGGAAGGTTGTATTGCTTGTACTTGACTGGGTCAACCAAAGGCTGTGAGAGTCTCCATAAGATTGGAGGGCTCAGTGCTATGTTTATTTTCGATTGTATGAAGGACTATACAGGTTCCCATAAGATTGGGTGGTCTGGTTGCTTTGAATTGCGAGGGTTGTTTGTATTTGGCGTTCAGGGACCAAGCATTTTTTCATAAGATTAGATGGCTTGGTTGCCTTGTTTCTTTGGGTTTTCTTATGTTTTATTAGTTCTGAAGGAGAGTTGGGCATGTTCCATAAGATTGGATGGACTTGAACCTCTCTTGTTTTATTCTGAGGGGAAAATTCAGGCAAAGGACTGGACAGATTCTCATAAGATTGTGTGGTATGGTCTGGAGTCACGCACATGCTAGAACCAAAGGGATAAATTTGTTTATATTTCTATACTATTTTACTTATGAACAGGCTAGTCAAACATTTTTTCATAAGATTTGATGGTCTTACTATAGTTTGTCATTAACTGAAGAGTGTATAAATTAAGAATAAACTTGTGGTAAGAAGGGGCAGGTGGAATCTTTATCTAAGATGACCATTTTAGTCATATGCTTCCTTAAAATACGAAGTGCATATAATTATATATAACTTAGATACTTAAACATTCCAGGACGACTAGGTTGGATAACCTAGTCATATGCCTAAAGAAGAAAAACGTTGTAGTTTTGTGTGTTTGTGTATACTCTATGGTTGAGCTAGATAGGTTTCCATAAGATTGGGTGGTCTAGCTATACGCCTTATCTGAGTTAGGTATAAGGGATAAATCATCTATGGACTATTGTTGATCAAGTTGACCTTGGGCTGGTGATAGTACTTACCTTTATGGGTTGGCCTGCTTGTGGCTGAGTGAGATCACTACTTAGTCTGAGTTTCAGTTTGATAGACAGTTGTTTTAGATGTTTGTCAGGTGCTATAGCTATAGGAGTTAGTTTTAATTTTTACATTTTTGAGCTAAGTTTATTTTATTTAGGTCAAATTCTACATTTTCTAGGATCTTTTGTTATACTTGGTCTTGTATAAATCTTGACAAGTCACTTTCTCTACGAGAACCGCTGCCGAAATTTCTACAAAACCGAGGAGTTAGTCATATTTTGACTTTTCAAAGTTAAGTTTGTCTAAATTTCATATATGGCTTAATAAAAATCTGGAAAGTCTTATTTTCTAGAGGGAGTGCTGCCTAATTTTTTGTTAATTCATAGAGTTAAACAAAAATGGACTTTGAGAAGTCAAAGTTATATCTAGATTATGAACTTAGCTTCGTATATATTTTGAAAAGTTACTTTCTCTAAGGGAAACGCTGCCGAAATTTTTACATATCTAAGGAGTTAGTTAAATTTTGTCTTGAAATAATTGAAGTTTAATGTTTGAGTTTATATCTAACTTAGTATAAATCTCGGAAGTCTACCTTTCTAAAGGAAATGTTGCCCAAATTTTTACTAATTCAGGGAGTTACACAAAATTTGACTTTCCAAAGTGAGATATTGTTTTTGTTTTCATATTTAAGTTAGTATAAATTCTGAAAAGGCACTTTTCTTACGGGAAGCGCTGTCGAAATTTCCTTAGTTTAACGGAGATAGATTATATTTCGACAGGGGGGCGATTCTGGCAACCCACCGTGAATAGGGGAGACTCTGCCAAAGGACTACCTTTTCCTTGGACAATGGCTTAGGGGTAGACTTAGATTTACTTGGCAGACAGTATTGAGTAAGGATGTGTTATGGAGATTTATTCCCCATACACTAATGATTTAGCTTGGGCATTGACTTGTCTTGTGGTACAAGTCCTTTTGATCGTTTTGATTCAAGATTTTGACTAGTTTCAGCTTGATCCTACAAGGATCATCTTCTGTTATCACTGATAACAGGTCGGTTGCCGATTCGTCGGTCTACGACTCAACTCTAATTTATTCTCATTACCCAACCTAAAAGGTTTTAGCCCTAGTGATTTCTATTGTTTTATTAAGGTTTTCACCTAAGCTTTTATTGAACGGTCATTTAACAAACGTGCTGAGTATTTATTTTTGAAAGGTTTGACAAAGGTTCGGGTTTGCATAGCTAAAGCGAGGGGTATGAGTATAGAGAATGGTTGAAGTTGACCCCGTGTAGTGTGTGGATTTTTTGTTGATTCTTTGATGTGATTGCAAGTATGTTTTATGATTCGGACTTTGGAATTGACTGTCTGCGATCACATAGATATATATGGTTGAGAGGAGTCTGACTGTGATTGTAAAAAGTGATCGTCCCATATTTATTCTCCTCTGTGTGTGTGTGTGTGTGTGTGTGTGTGTGTGTGTGTGTGTGTGTGTGTGTGTGTGTGTTTGTGTGTGTATATATACATACATACCTATGCGGAGTGTTCGCGTGGCCTAGAGAGCCCACACTAAGCCATGCCCACGCTTAAGGGGTCTAAATGGGGTTGAGATTGCGAAAGAAAAGGAGACTCCCTTCCTTTACCATTTTGCTTTTTAAAAGTTTCTTAGTCGAACGTTGGTCCTGGGCCTAGATTCGAGGTACTTGTCCAAGATATCCCAGGTCCTAGACTCCATGTAGAATGGATCACCCCCCGCGCAAAGCATATTTGCCCTGCCCACCGGGACACAGAGCCTAAAGGTCGGAGGTGCCGCGGGGTCCGAACGGTTGTTCCTTCAGTCGTGCAATATCGTGAAGGGTTTGACCTTCACGATACTTCGAGTTTGACACTTGAGTGTTATAAGCGGTACGCGGGTCCATGAGGGACCGTTTGATTATGGGCACTACACAGTACGCCATCATTGTGATTGCTTGCGTACTCATGCATTGCTAGTCGATATGGAAAGATTCGGCATCTGTTTGGTTTTATACTAAGTTTCACGAGCATCGTCTATCTGATTTTCCGCGTCAGAAGATTATGGGATGATTACAAAAGGGACTAGGAGTGTTGTTGTACTATTTGTTTTGCGTCGTTTCGTGTGTGTGAGTGAGTGATGTAGTGTACGGGTGGTGTGTGGGGTGTGTCCTAGTCGACCGACGATGAGTCGCGCTTGGGTCTTCAGCCCCCCAGTGCGTCGATTCACGTGCGGGTCCAATAGAGGCGTAAAACCTCTCGTACCCCCTATGCTACAACGAACGAGAAACGCCCTCGGCTGGTCCACCTCTGCGATTGCAACTGATTAGCTTTCGTACTGTGGACTGGTAGCTCGGTGAGGATACACCCATCGAAGGGAGGTGACAACTCCCGCAGGTGGAGGTAAGTCGTGCCTCTCGTAGGCCCTATCCTGTTGTAGGGGCTCGTGAGAGGTATGGCTGGCGCACTCGGTCGAAGTGGCTTGCGGAAGCTCCATGTGTATCGGGACACGGATGAGACCAACTCCTGCATGACGAGGTCAGGAGGGTCCCGCCCTGCTCGGTGCGGGACCAATGCACGTGACAGCGGTCTAGCCAAGGTCCTGCTTTGGAGGAGTTCATGCCTAGCTAAAGTGTTGTTGTGCGAGTCATTATACGACTCGATGACCCCTGACCTTCAGGCCTTATTGTTTCCAGGAGAAAATTTATCTAACTTCTTGTGCGATGACCGTAACTTTAGCCTCGTGAGAATATGAGATAAAAGAGTTATGTTCAGTATGTTGTCATTGTTCGTTTGTGAGGACCTGAACAAGGAAGTACATACTTTCGTGTTGGAGTATCGGACATGAGATGAACTCGAGACCTCTCTTAGGGTAAGGTTTCACAACAATGGGATTGACAACCAACATCATACAATCCCTACGCAAGTGATCGAAGATGTGTAAGTGCACGAAAAATTAGTCAGTGAAGAGAAACAAATAAGGATATTAGAAAAAAGGATGGCACGATTGAAAAAAGTCAGAAGTGGCAAGCATAAAATATCAGAAGGATCATCGGGCAAACCAGTCGGTGGGCATGGGGAAAAAACGGATAGTAACAATTTAGATTTTCTCCATCCCACGAAGGTTCAAAAAAGTGGTCTGATATTCAAAAAAAAGAAAGAGGTAAGGAGATTGTTCGGCAGAGTAGACGTGAGCGCCCTAAGCTAACCAAAGTCAAGGGGAGAGCGAGGAGTCGAGCTCGAGTGGATGTAGATCGTAGAAAAGGGGAGAGCGCCCTAAGGATTTGGAAAAGGAAAAACAGATTGGAGGCAGATCATTCACAAGCATTGTGTCAAAAACAGCATATAATGAAGTTTTGTTGTGACAGAAAGATTGATGGAGCAAATGGCTTAATAAGTACCAATATTGAAGGCAACATCTTTGACAGGGTTGAGGGTTGTATTGATGCAACCATATCTAGGGGACTGCAAAAAGAGGCTCTACGGCAAGATAAAGCACCAAACACTGCCTTTTGACTGCGGTAGAAGGGACGAAGGATCGTATAAAAAGAGATCTGGGAGTTTGATGGGCTGTATTCGTAAGCGAGAGAACCCGGTTCTAGAGCTGTCATGAAAATCAAGAGTGGGTGCGATCTTAGCAATAAGGTCTGGTAAGGCAATATGGGTTGCAGACCCGGTATATAAGTGGTTTGAAGATAGACCATATATATTAGTGTCACGAGCAGGTGGATCAGTGAGTAGCTTTAAGGATGGGATTTAAGTGATGAGAATCCATTTCATTGATACATTGGAGTGGGTGATACAACTTCTTCAATCCTAAGAGTATATAAGAATGACAATGAAGGTAGAAAGAGGTATGATTTGTTTTCTTTCTAGATTCAGATAATTGTACATATGTATAGTGTGATATGTTTGGGGGGTGTTTTTTGTGTATGTATGTCTGACTCCCTAGCTTAGAATGTGATTTGTGGGGGTTGTATATAACTCATGTGAGGATTATGGTGGTACTAAGTTTTGACTCCTTGAGTTTTAAATGAATTTTGATTTTAAAATATATGTGGATTGTAAGCTGAGCAAGAGAGTTTCTTCGAGATGACCTCTGCGATAATGTTCTGATTGAGACAATTTTTTTACTTCGGTTATTTTAAGGTCGTGATACCTTTGTGTGGTACCTGATGATATTGTGACCATTTCAATTTTTTTTTAGTTGGAATTTTCTAACTCTGAGTAGTTTAGTGGTGTAGTGATTACTCTAT